TGAATTGTTGATATTACATTGTTCGATCCAATCTCGGTCTTCCTGTCGGCTTTTATAGCAAGACACCATTAAGCCTCTCTCATCTCTCTATTAGTGGCCCAGTCTACAGCTACTGGGTCCACTCACTCACAGGGAAGCGAGAATTCGGCCTCCGTCTTCGCATGGGCCGAATCACAGGTTGGGCTCCTGTTGCAGGCGCAGTTGTCACCGTGACAGTATCATGCCTCCGTGGGCTGGACCGAATCACCGAGCGACGCGAAAACGGTAGCCCACCCTCCGTTCCCCACCTCACCCAAGTACCCAACCAAGCACACACGTCTCGCGGAGCGGATTAGGGCATGTTCAGAATATTGCCAAAATTTTGACATAATTTTTTTATTGTATTTATCAAATTTGATAACAAACTAAACATAGATATTTTTTAGCAACTTTATCTTAAAAAAAATAGTATGGTTGAAAATGATGACACTACACTACATAGGTACCTGTGCATGCATGTGAGGCATCGGTCGGTCCTAAAAACGGCGGCAGCTAGAGAGGAGTTAACGACCGGACGTGCTGCAACCTAGGGATCACCAGGCAGCTCTTTCGCTCTATAGGGATATCGGGGGGGGGGGCATAGCACAATTCTTCTTGGAGGAGGGTTGGTTTGCCCAGGCGACTGATCCTGCCATAATATACTCCCGCTAATTCTATTGCACCGACGGAAAGAAAAGTAACCTATTTTAGGATCAGATCAAATCTAGAACAAGAAGCAAGCTTCCTTGGAGAAAAGTTTTTCTATGATAGGTATCTATTAATTGTCAAAGCTTTGACAGCCTTTCCTTCACACAAGGTTTTTAATCCATCTCCCCCGCTTAGGACAGTAAGGGGAAGTAGCGATATTCCGATTCCTTCGTGGGGAATCAACGAAGGCAGCCGCTCCCGCAGCTTTAGTACTTAAGTTAGCCCCAGCCCTTATCCCGCGATGAGAAGGTAGATGCGGTAAGCCAACTCCTATCCTTCTTGCAGAAAGGGCATTCAATGCCATCTTCATCCCTTCCTTGTCCAATTTAACGCAAATGAGCTTTATTTTATTATTTTTATTCAATTTAGTTTATAGAAGCCTATCAAGTTCTAAGCGAGCCAAATCTGATTTAGACATGGTACCCACTCTCTCATTTAAGAATTTAGCAAAATATGGACAGTCTATGCCGTTCTGTTGCAAACTAGCAGTAATAAGCTCCAACTTATTTGGATTATATTCCCTCCCGCTACCCGCCTTTCCCACATCCATCAAAGGGATGCTCGCTTGTCAAGCTATGTGCTTTCTTTCCTTTCAAAACTCTATGTATTCATTTGCTTTCTTACCAGGCCTACCCAGGAAAGGGGTATAGATAGAAGGAGGGATCCTCCGACCATAGGTCTATTGAATCGAAAAAACACTATTTTTTATCTAGCAGCTGCTTTTATTTTCTCTACGAAGAGAGTGGCTAGCTAGCTTCTTTGCCAACTTCGAGTGTGAATACCCCCTGAAGCCACCGGTATAACACCTGGCATGGATACCTGTTGACGAGAAAATTGAACACACCGGCCTGGGAGATCTGCTTAGCTCCAGTGCAGGTCCAAATATGATGAGATGTGGGCGTGCCAGTCAGTTTAATCCTGCAACTGACAAGATATGCAAATAGTAAATCAAAACAGCCGATCGGCTGACAAGCCGATGGAGTAATTCTAGCCGGTAGCCAATAATAGCCGATGCCGATACCAGCCGATAGCGATAGGGTTTAAGCAATCGGCTATATGTCCAATGTAGATAATGATATAAAGGCAATCGGCTGATGATGATGTAATAAAATAATAATATAATCCAGTATAAACCAATCGGCTAGCAATGATATGATAAATAAGCATCAATCCGAAGGTTAAAGCACACATCGGCTGGAGGTCCGATGTCATGAAATCCACAAGATTAGATTAAACAGTGAAACCTTTGTTGTCATCGGTGAAATCCAACTTATATGTATGTGCAATCCTTATGAGCCGATGCAACGTCCAGATAACTCAACGGCTGAAACCCCGATGAAACCCTTATTGGCAATCAAGAGGCAGGCTAGAGATTATGGTTCTAAGCACGACTTAGTATATCAAACTTAACTGATGCAGCACTAAGTATGAAAAGAAACACAATATCTAGACAATCAAGCCGTTGACTGATTTTCAGGGTGGTAGATGCCTAGGCTAATCTAATCTAGCAACGCTATTTAGCCGATACCGGCAGAAACCCTAAAGCGAGAGACAGCCGATAGAGCTAAATTGATATGCTAAGACTAGATTAATAGAGACATGATAAATAGGTAGGCAAATATATCATCCAAACCAGAGCAATCCAAGAGGTCGAATGTACTGATGCAGCCTTGAACAACGCCGATGTAAACGATACAATTGCCTGGGCCGACGGAACATTGGACTTATCCCTTCGCCGGAGATCGAAGACGATGCAGCCCTGCGTCGGGTGCCAAGTTCCGCCGGAACGTAAAAACAAAAGTAGAAGTAAAAAGGGTGGCGATGCACCGAATTGTATTGATCGTAGCGATTGATTACATAGACCCCGAGTGTACATGTTTATACCCATGGGTTGATACAAGTCCTTGTTGGACAAGAAAAAAAAACTAACCTAAAGATAAAAGGAAAATATAAAGTCCTTATCGAACACTAAACACACTTTCCTAAAGATAAAAGGAAACTAACAAATTATTCCTAATTAATAGATAAACTGCCATACCGCATCCTCTTTAAACTCGGTCACTTAGGGATAAGCTTCCTTTAGTAGATTGATTTCCTTAACCGAATATAGCAGGAATCCGACTATTGGCGACTTGATAACTCCCATCGGCTGATTCCGAGATGCAGCAGCCGATAATGATTCTAAGCCGATGACGTCTTTGCCGATTACCAAATTTCACTGTTAACAATACCCAATCTTGAGTGAAAAAGATACCGTGAGCACAATACCCAATCCTGAGTGAAAAAGATACCGCGAGCACGATCTTTTTCAATAAAATCATCGCGCAATAAATCAACAAAACCTAAAGTCATTTCGTGTTCCCCTTCTAACTTACCTACTACTGTACCAGCGTGGATATGATCTCCCCCGGACATACGCAATGCTTTAGCTAATATACGGAAATGCATACCATGATTTTTCTGTCTATCAATAACTGCATGCATTGCTCTGTGAATGTGAAGAAGTAGGCCGTTATCGCGGCAATAATGAGCCAAACTAGTATTTGCAGTTCTCTTAATAGAAAGGGGCCCTATTGAGAATTACGAGCATCGCATAACAGAAAATCTATTTACAAGCTATTGATTCTCCGACTACCAATTCTTAGGTCTGTGCTTCGCAATCAGCCCCTTAATTTGCCATCATTTTCTATCGCGCCCACCCTCGAAGAATCAAGTGGATTAAACGATGATCAAGTGGTAGATTGGTAGTAGGCGTCAGTGGCATTGTATATGGACCATTGGTACTCCTACGTATACTACGTACGCCCTCTCGCGGCTACTACTACTGGACAGGATGGCAGGCGTCACATGCCGCTGTGTTGGAAGAGCCCATCATGCGTGTACTCTGTCAGAAGCCCTTGTTTCCAACGGTCAATCAAGTACGAAAGACACGAAAAGGACGAAGTGGCCTACTAGGCCACGTACGTACTGGATATGATTACTTGAGGATTTAGTTATTAAGAAGGCGATTAGTACTCCATCCGTCCCATATTATAGCAACCTAAAATGAGATGGGACTCATCCTAGTACTACGAATCTAGACATGAGGACATGCCTCATGTCCAGATTCGTATTCCAGGATAGGTTGCAACATTATAGAACGGAGGGATTAATTAATTTTACATGCATGGTGCTTGTAAATTATTTAATATATGGTCCCATTTTAGCAGAAATTAAGGTGAAATTGAAAATACTGAGATTTTATTTTACTGGAAAACATCTCGCTTAACGGATGCAACTAACAGTGAGAAATAATTAGTGAATCATGGTGGAACCGGCACCAACATAGTGAAACCAATGAAGTGAAATCAATGAAGGTAGTCAGGGTGTCAGTTCTAAATTTTGGTGCTTATGAATATATACTGTACTACACACGCGTGAGTGCATTCGATAGAATTTTAGTGAGGCGGTCAAGGATATATTGTTGCGGTCAAGAATTTTAGTGCGTTAGGAGGTGCGCCCATAGTTGTGTGTTCATTGTTGGTGTCTATACATGTACATCTTCCATGTAATTATAAAATATTTGAAACTATTAGAACTTTTATCTCTAAATTCGTTTGTCAAGAATGTTTTCGTTGTGGTATGATATACTATTAATTTATATTGTTATAGATGTTTAAAATGTTAATAAAATTAAAGTTGGATATTAAAAAGTACTAAGAATGTTTTGACTAAGAATGCAAAAACCTTAGCCCCAACCCCATTTCCATTCTATTTTATTTACTCTTTTTTAAACTAGGTATATATCCATCTTGGGATAGTTATGAAGTCATGGTTTTTGGCACGCTATAGTAAATACCGTGTCCACAGTTGATCTTGGCGATCGACTCACGTACTATCCGTGATCGATTTCAGTTTCTGACTAAAGGAGGCAGCAGCAGTACATTCTTAAAGTGACATGTCAGTTCCAGTAGACCATGCATCGATCATCCATGTGATGCTTGTGATCTTCCTTGCCATGAGCAGTGGAATAGTACACTAGCTAGTACTCCATCTATTCCAAAAATAAATTGATTTTCTGAGTGTAGCCCCAAGGCACAGTACGGTAGAAATACACTCAATCAACGAAGAATACAGATGTTAATTGGACAATATTATTTCGATTTCAGTATATGGAAATGGTGTACTATATATTCCCCAATTAGAATTATTTAAAGTTTATATAGTAGTATATATATACTATATATTAATTCTTTTCAAACAGTTATTTTTTTAAAAAAAAAACAACCTTGTACTGTCCAATAAGCAGAGTATATATATTATACTAGTTAAACACACCTTGCAGATGCAGATCATATATCTCGATCCATTATCTCGGATACCTCAGAGAGTACGTAACACAGCAGAAGTTACAAGGAAAAATGCAACAAAAGTACTGCAAATAAGTCCGGGACTTACGAGCCGTACAGAATAACGAAAGAACAGCAGAGGGCCGCCATGCATACGCGCGTGCATATACCATTACCACCATATATAGCTAGGTTTACAGATGAAGCGAGGTGTCGACGTCTACGTCGCCTCTGTAGCCTGAATTCTGCATCGTCGTCCACGGGCTCGTCGTCGCCGGCGTCGACGGCGAGGCCTGGACGACGCCGCTGCCGTGATGCAGAGGCCTCGACGGCGGCCGGACCAAGTCCGGGTGCAAGAACCACCTCGGCTGCTCATTGGTGCCGTTCACCGCCGCGTGATGAAGGCCAAGGCCGAGAGCCGACGCCGACGCCGAGCCGGCGGCGGCGGCGCGGTCGTGAGCGTCGGCGGGGCGCACCCTGTTCAGCTCCTTGTTGCCCGCCTCCCTCATCTCCTTCACCTTCTGCAGGTTTCTGAACCTCTCCTGGAGGAGAGCTATGGAAGATGTGTGGATGATCGAAGGGGAGGCCTCGCTGCCGCCATGCCTTCTCATCAGATCGTGGAGCTCAGCTACTAGCTAATTAGAAATCAACAATTAGCAAGCAAGTGCAAAGGGCTCGCTTAACCTTTACTTGTAGCTGCTGCAGGCTAGGTCACTGTTGCGATATGATGCGTGTGTGAGAGAGAGAGACTGCAGGTTCGCGTGTATGTAGCATGAAGTTGGCTAGCTAGCTAGGGCAAGTATGTGGTGTTTGGTGCTTGCTTGGTTGGAGCTTGTTGTTGTTGCAAAGCTAGCTAGCAAATCAACTAACCAACTGCAACTGCAATGTATTGGAGTGGTGGTGAGATCGATCGATCTCTAGCTAGAGCTAATTGGGGGCTTCTTGGAGGGGAGCTAGAAGGGGTGTGTGTGTGTATATATATAAGCCGCAGGGGCCGGGAGGAGAGGCGGCCTGGCCGGGTGGGAGGAGTGCATGCATGTTGTCCTCTTGCACACACTGATTCTCACTAGGCACACTAGCAAAGCAGCATGTGTTTCTGTGCCAACTCAACTCCAATGGACGGATCCAATCCAAGGCCACCTAATTTGTTGGCAAAGCAATTTGGAGAGGGGAGGAGAAAGAAGAGGAAAGGGAATCAGGGCGAGGTGTGGAAAGTCCAAGGGGGAAAGGGCCTTTTGGAGGGGTAGGGGTTGGGGGCCGGAGTGGTGTGGCGGTGTGTGTACCAGTGTACTCTTTAGTTCCAAAATATACTAATCTAGAAAATGATTTGATATAACCGAGTACAACGAATATGGATAGAGAATTGTTAAGATTCATAGTGATATCATATGACAACCTATGTATCAATGTACCCTTTAATTTTGCCCCAAAATAAATCAATCTAGAAAACGATCTGATATAACCAAGGACTACGATATGGACAGGAGATCGTTCAGATTCGTTATACTCGATTATATCAAATTGATTATCTTTTAGTTTGGTTTATTTTGGAACATATGAAGCATATATGTGTAAGTGGAAGGGTTTGGGTTTGGTGATTGGATGTGAGGTGCGCCTGTGCGTGCCACTTTTTAAAGTAGTAAAGGGTGGAGAGGTAGTACAAAACCAGGCGTGGAGGGTAGCGCTTGGCACGGGATTGTGGAGGGGAATATGGTCATATAGGATTTTGTGATGGTCTTTGTCCGCTAACCCTTGCCCTGGAAGCGAGTGGGCCGGGGGCCTTTCAGACCCACCCTTTTTCTTTTCTTTTTTTCAAGCCTTCTTTAATTTTGCTGCCTATCTCCTTGTCCCTGCATGCACACATTACATGCCTATCTATCTCCTTGTTTATTTCTCAATGTGTGGATATATATTTATCACTGCATTGTTGTTCCATGTCATGGATTGGGACAGGAGCTCCTCCCCAAGGAGGAGAGATAGGTGTATAAGTATAAATATATCTGGCGGTGAACCATTCCAACTGATCTGATTTTCTTTTTAATTTCTCCTTGGTTAGTTAATTAGCATTGGGTTTTGGTGGTGTGATTGTGTGTGTAGGGGTTGAGGTCACTTTGATGTTTTCTCTGTTGTTTGGATGCTGGAGGTCAAGTGAGGGGTTGAAGGATGTGTTAGGGCTCCGACCAATCGACCGGCCAGATGAAGAGTTAAGGATCGGTTTATAAATATTACTACCAGTAGCACCTCGTCGTGATTCTGTTGTTTACTAGGTGCAGTTGGACTGTTGGAGCAACTTGAAGCTTTTCAGGGGTAGGTTTCAGAACTTGATTGATTATTCGATTCTTGTTACTAGTATGGTTTTTAAATGAACAGGTCAAGCAAAGCAACAGCCGCTAGCTAGCTAGCTGCACAACCAGCATGCAGGGGCCCCAAATTAATCATATGTCATGCCATGCACGAGGGAACAAAACAAGTGCGACAAGCTGCATTCATGGACACTAGTCTACACATTATCTGACCACCTATAAGGAATCAAGGATCGATCGATCAAGGGCTAGCAATCAGACTGCTCATGATTCATGACTCGGTACTGGAGTGGAGTACGAAGTTTTTACAACTTTTTGTGCAGGTAGCCAAGATGCGTTTCTCTGAACGTGTGGGCGCGGGGGTACATGTGTGTGCATGTGTGGATGTTTAGGTACTGTGTCTGTGTGTGTTTCCTTTCAGTTGTATCAACTGAGCCCTTGTGTCACGGTTTGCCAGAAAGGGACCGCTCATGTCACAACTTACTGATCAGTCTCAATTATGTTGTCATGCATGGACTGATCTGCGGCTAGCTACATCGTCAATTAAATGTGTGTGATACAATAATTAATTCCACAGATCATAGTACTATGATACGTGATATTCAAAGTCCTAATCGATGTGTCGATCAGCTCATCAAATATCAACGCACACAATTATCCGCCGTTGTTGGCTTAATTTTAATGGTTTCTTACTGTCTTTAAGAAATGCTGAAAATCATTAGTAATAGATAAAAATTTGAGCTCTATATCTACAAACGGATATACACAGGCAAGCTTTACATATATATTTGGCCTGTAGCGTGCAGAATAACATGTAGGCCCCCTTTGAATCACAGGAATGAAAAAACGGGGGAATAGGAAAAACATAGGATTCTGATAGGAATACAAGTGTAAAATAGAGGATTGCAAAACACAGGAAAAACATAGGAATGACCGTTTGATTGAGCCGCAGGAAAAACACAGGAATTTGAAGAGAGAGAAAGACTCAAAGGATTCTTAACATGAGGTAGAACCTCATGTTAAATTTCCTTCAAAATTTGCATGGGAAGAGGCATTCCATAGGAATTTTATAGGATTCCATAGGATTCATTCCTTTGATTTAAAGGGCTATATAGGAAAAATTCCTATAGAAATTAAATCCTTTAAAATTCCTATGAATTTCCTTTGAATCAAAGGGGGCCGTAGTATGTCCTTCAGCGTTTTCAGCCTCAATCAGGCAAAGAGAATGAAATGGTACGTAGGACGGTAGGAGTACCATCTACCATGGTTCTTCTCTGCTTGTACGTCCGAAACTACTAAAAGAAAAAAATGCTTGCCTAGCTTAGCCATGGAGTAGGTTGCTACGAAATGCGTGAAGCGGCTTGGAGGAGTACATATTACTACATGCTTTTTTAAAAAAAAAATTAGAACATACATTGCTACATGCTGATCATATATATATGTACAGTGGAGACGTACAGGTTGATCATATATGCAGTAAGTTCAACTTAACTATTTTCAGATTATTCTGGCTTAGTCATATCAAGCACAGTGGTTTGCTAATGATGCATGGATAATCTATATATAAATTTACAAGTTGTGAGTAAGATACATTATGTGCACAATCCCAAAAGTACCACACCGGCCTGTTAGTAAACACCCATGTGGCTCACATGTTTATGTGATGCTGGAGTAATTAGTCTCACATGAAAAGCACATAAAAATTTGGTTTAGCATTTAAAATGAATGCAACCATTCCCACCATAATATCAGTTCACTGCTAAATCACCTTCGACAAAAGAAAATACTAAAATCTTGCATTAGTAATCTTTAGGACCTTATAATTTGTTTTGCGATTATTTATGCCATGTCTCTTCCTCCAATTCCGATGCTCCGGTGATCAACAATAGTCTGACGAGTTAAGTTTAGCGTTCAGGGTAGGGTTGGTTTTGAAGGGGTGAGAGAAGGACATGTTCCCCAGCTTAGAGCAATGTTAGTAAGAAATGGTGGCTTGGTAGCAGTGGAACGGGTGGGTGGTGAGGCAGTGGCGGTGCCCCGCTAAAGCAGTAGAGTTGGTAGTGAACAATGTGACGGTGTAGTTTTGGTGGGGGGAAGCTTAATGAGTGGTGAGAAGGCAAGAGTGTATCCGACTACAAGGAGCTATCGGAGACAGGGAAGATGACATGCAGGGTCACCTTATCCTTGTCAGCTTGAGGAGGGGAAAGGCAGCAGGGAGGGATGAAAGGGGAGGTACATCGGGCCTCAGTGGTGCCTGTTGGCGCCTTCCGATGCTGGCGCAGTGGAGCGGCTACGTGCTGGTACGGTGGTGGAGGAGGAGCTAGGTAGGGGGACGATGGAGCCTGGAAATAGCAGCGGTGTGAACAAGGAGGGGAAAAGAAGGGTTTAGGATTTTGTGGGTTGCATGAATGTCAAAACCACGGACAATGTAGAATTCACATGATTTTTGGGTGCTTGAATGATATGATATGCAGGCAGTCCTAATACTTTTGGACTAACCCTTTTACATGTCGCTAGCTATTGAGGATCCTGAAAACTTATATTGTTAATTACATTCCCTTGAACGGTAAGATATATATCTGTTGGCAAAGCATTTATCAATTGTCTCGTATCGGTCGTGGCAGTTGGCATCATGCAGTAGTTTTTTTACAGATTCTAATTTATCTGCGCATGTTTTGTATAGTTCAGAAAATTGGTGGCATTACTAATCTTTAAGACGTTATGTAACTTAATTTAGGTGGTTACTGATGGTCATGGCCAGACCGTCAGGGAACTGTAGAGCGAGCAGTGCACGGTGCACCGCTAACAATGGGCAGTGGCCGAGCAGACAGTCTGTCCCCTGGCCCTGAACCCACCCATCACGTACACTACACAAGCAGCCATGTAGTGCAGGATCCTAGAGAGAGCCCCTCTCGGTGTCCCCACCTGTCTGTGACCTGCACGTCGATCTCGACCCCGACCCCCGAACCTCCTCCCTGCTTAGCTAGCTAGCCGCTAATGACTAGCCGTCATTCGATCCGAATCACCCACACTATCTAGCCGGCTAGCTTCTTGCCCCCCTCCCATCCCTCTCCGTCCCCCAATCTCCTACCATGTTGCTGATCAGCCCGGTGTCACATACCCTCCACTGTTCCCTACGTACGTGTTCCTCTCGGAACCAGAGGGACAAGAAGAGGCATACGTAGGGGTATGTTACTACCAGTAGTATAGTAGTGTAAAGAGAACAGTCCAAGAAAATGGTAGAGTACGTGATGGATGAGCCACACAGTACAGAGAGAGAGGCAGTACTCCCATCAATTCAGCAAATTATGAGAGGCCGGACCGCCGGTCGGGGCAGCGTCGTCACTCGCGAGTCACCTCATGAGCGCCGATGGAATGCGACACCTCGCGGCGCGATCGATCGGTCGACCGATGGTTTTATTTTTTTCCCTACGGTGTCCGCTAGCTTTGCTAAAATCCGCGGCCGGAGGGCGTAATCATTCGGTCTGGCGAAGTTGATCGATCGAACGGGCTTCCGGCCGGCATGCGCGCGCGCGGCAGCAGAGCAGGTCGGTCTGGGGTTGTTGGTTTGGTTTGGAGCGGTATGGCGTGCGCGTACGCGACGGGCGCCCATCCGGTCTTTCGAACGATCGATTCGTCGCCTGCGTGCTCGGCCCCCGTCGCGTTGCGCGTTGGCGCGCATGCGGGGGAGGAGAGGAGGGGGCCGCCCGCCGGCACCGGTCGCGGGGGCGACCCTAGCCGGCTAGCCGCTAGCTAGCCACCGATGTGGTGACTGCTGGGCATAGCAAGCTAGGCCACGAGGTGAGGTGGGGTCGTGGGGGTCGATCTAAGGGTAAGTGATGTGACTACCACCTCTAAATTTATCTATTTTATTCACTC